TAAGTTTATAAACTTACCAAAAAAAAGTATACTTAAAAAAGAAGTATACTTTAAGTACATGTCATTAAGTATACTGCAGAAGATAAAAGCGTATTTCCCTAAGTGTGTTTTTATTTACTATGTAAATTGATTTAAGTGTACTAGCAGTTTACTAAAATATACTTCTAGGACTAAATTGAACCACAAAAGTTTATGAAAGTAAACTCGGACGTATAGTGAAAGTAATCTAAGTATAGTTTTAGTTTAATCTTGAAATGTAACCAGCAGAGGGTGAACTGTGACACAGCAACAGCCTGTCTGTCTGGCATCAGAATCTACAGTTTGAAAACTTCAAAGACTTTCTATTTTTTGGATCCAGAATYGCTTGGGCTCCATTTCCAATGCCAACTGCAGACTATATCACTACTTGGTAAGATTTTTGGCAATAAAAAGTGAAGAGGCCTCTTGGCCTGTAGGCCTTGTGTGGAAGAAATGCGAGGTCTCTGGCCCTATAGGCCTTGTCTGGAAGAACCTCATTAAACATCTTATACTCCTATCATCGATCAATAATACCCACCACTGGTACATCGTGGTAAGAATACCATGTCTCCCAAAAAAGGCGCACCTTGTGAAGATGAGTSTGCTGTCACCATGGCTGTGCTCACACAGATGTTGGAGGAAATGACAACAGGACACATGGTAATTGAAACCAAAAATAAAATCTTTAGAAAGTGGAATAACAAAGTCAAAACAGGACATTAATGAAATGATGGCAAAGTTGGATTACATTGAAAACCAGCACAAAAGGAAAAGTATAATTATTGATGGGACACCAGATGCAAAGGGAGAAAAATGGAATGATTTGGAGATTGAGGTTCAACAAATATTTTCCAATAATTTGGAGCTAGATGGCRCAAAGACTGAGATGGAGCGTGTCCAGAGGATTGCTCAGCACCAGGAGGGGGGAAGGCCAAGGAAAATTATGGTGAATCTGCTGCGTTTAAAAGACAAACAGTGCATCCTGTCTTCTGTGAAAATGTTGAAGGGGACTACATCTACATAAATGAAGATTTATCTGGGGCAGTGCAACAGAGAAGAAAAGAACTCTGGCCTAAGCTAAAAGCTGCAAGAGAAAGGGGTGAGAGAGCCTGGCTGAGGTATGACAAGCTGGTCATTGGGCCTAAAGATGAACTTCCTGATAATGAGTAACACCAAGYAACCTAATGGCCTAAGTATGATATTTTAAACATAACCTGTACCTGTACTATTTTAATCATCCATAAATATGGGATCTAACAAGGACACTAAATCATCTTTGTTAAATTTTTCTGAAAAGGGTCTAGTCATAGCTCACCTAAATATATGTAGTCTTAGATACAAGATTGATGAAATAATAGAATCTGTCATACAGAGAACATCCATGTCTTTGCACTATCAGAAACACATTTGGACAGTAGTTATGACAATTCAGTTGTATCAGTGGATGGTTATAACCTTTACAGAAGACATAGGGATAAATATGGTGGGGGTGTAGCACTATATATTAAAGAAAATATTGGAGTTTTGCCAAAAAATGATATAATGTGGCAGATATTGAAATATTATGGCTACAGATACACATCTCCCATTGCAAACCTTTTTTAGTTGGTTGCTGTTACAGGCCTCCAGAGCTCTCATGTATATTTAGACAAAATATGTGACACTTTAGACAGAATTTCTGAGGAAAACAAAGACATTTTTCTTTTAGATTTGAATATAGATTGGTTTTCAAAACATTGTCCCTTACGCAAAAAACTGTCTTCTATGGCTAGTGTTTGTAATTTTACCCAGATTGTGAAGCAACTACTAGAAATTCCTTTGGCACAAATGGCAAAATTACCTCAACTTGTAYTGACCTGRTATTTACTAATTTACTAATAYTCCCGAGCTTTGTACACAAACAGTTTCAAAAGCTGTGGGGTTCAGTGATCATAATCTGACTGCTTTATCAAGAGATACAAAATTGCTCAAATCAGGAGTTAGGATTGTTCTCCGCAGGTCATTTAAAAGATTTAACCCAGACTTGTTTATATCTGACATTAATAATATTCAATGATCAGAGGTATGTTAATAACAGAATGTGAATATTGCYTTAAACACATTTATAGAGAAATTAATGAATTTGGTTGATAAACATGCTCCTCTCAGAAAAAGGTCTATAGAGAGTAACAGTGCACCATGGCTGGACAGTGAGTTGAGATCTTTGATGCTTCAAAGGGACAAGGCCAAAGCAGCTGCTCATAGGTCAGGGTGTCCTGAAGACAGGAGAACTTACTGCTCATTGAGAAATAAGGCCACAAAACTAAATCACAGTAAAAAGAGTGATTATTTTAAACAGAAAATCCACAACTCTGTTAATGACAGTAAGAAATTGTGGAAAACCTTGAATGTATTAATGTGCAAAAAGCCAAAATTATTGCCAAAATTTTTAGAATGTGAGGGGCATATTATATATATATATATATATATATATTACAAATAAAGTGAATAATTTAAGATCTAACATGTACATTATTGCCAGTGACTCATGTAGATTAACTGATAATATAATGTGTGGTAAAATCGGCCAAATTTATTTTAAACCAGTAACTCAGGATGTTGTTAAGATGCTTCAGTGTCTCTGATGATACATCTTCAGGTGTAGATGATGGAAAAATACTCAAAGTAGCAGCCATTCGTCTCTCAAAACCTATTTGTCATATTTTCAATAGTCAATTTAAGTGGTACTTTTCCTGAGCAATGGAAACAGTCAAAAACCATTCCTCTTCTCAAAGATCCAAAAGCAGGCTTTACTAGATCAAACTGTAGACCAACCAGTTTACTTCCTGTGTTAAGCAAGATTTTGGAGAAGGTAATTTTTAATCAAATAATGGATTATTTTAATACTAATGAATTGTTAACAGTTCCAACATGCATACAGACATGATTTTTCAACTAATACCACTTTAGCACACATGACTGAAGAATGGTTAACATACTWAGATGCAAAGAAACTAGTAGGAGCTGTGTTTTTAGATTTTACTGCGGCTTTTGCTGTAATCGACCACAGTCTTCTTATTGCCAAACTTAAAGCATATGTTTTTTCACAAGCTGCACTGGCCTGGACACACAGTTATCTCAGCAATAGGACACAGCAGGTCTTTTTTAATGACAGTCTTTATAACAACATCATGTGGTGTACCACAAGGAAGCTGTTTGGGTCCACTTTTATTTTCAATATTTATAAACGATCTTCCACATATTGTTGAAAAAGCTAGTGCTGTAATGTATGCTGATGATGTCACTTTGTACACTGCAGCATCAACAACATCAGGACTGAATGTGAGTCTACAGCAACAGTTAAACACAGTAGTGGACTGGGTGAAAAAGAATGGTATTAAATATTTCCAAAACTAAATGCATGACATTTTGCAGTAGATATATGTTGCAAAATTTGACCTCACTTAATCTGCATATTGAGGACACCAAGGTAGAGCAGGTCACCAAATTGAAGAGAATAATAAAAACTAGTATTCTGAAGAAACGTGGAGAATTATAAGTGAATTCATGGTAATTGTTGTTTAAGTTGGTGTATTAAATTTTGTTTTTAGTTCATTTTAAGTGTTTTAAGTTGTTTAGATTTTTGTTGTATTTTACTTTTCTTTTGAACATATTTTGGGTATACAAAAGGGGCAGATATTATAATGATTATTCTTCTTCTGCTGCCTTTCATTTTATTTTGATTGCATGTTTTTTGAACTTTGTTAATTTGTTACAAATGAAATTAATAAAGAACTACTTCTACTATTGCAATTGTTTGAGTGGTGAGGTGTTTTGCAGACTGCACTTGCTTATTTGGATGTATTAATTGGCTGGTTTTATGAGGCTTTTATAGCTTTTAAGACTCTATGGAAATGAACATGTATGCTTTAATTATATGTATTGTTAATTGTATTTTTGTATTTTGATTTTATGGACCCCAGGAAGACTAGCAACCTCTGCTGTGGAAGCTAATGGGGATACAAATAAAACAATAAAAAATACACAACAATAAATATACTACAAATAAGCCAGTCTGTGTGAAAAGTGTACTACTAAAGTTTATCTTGACCAAAAGTTTAAACATTAGTATAGACTAAGTATAAAACTTTTAGTATACTTTTAGTACAAGCCAAGTATAGTATAAGATAAACTTGGTTAAGTATATCTCAGATAAGTACGTAAGAAGTAAACTGGAAGAGTACTTTTTTAAGTTTAAATTTAGTATATGGATACTTGCATTTACTACTTTTTGCTAAGCGAAGCCATTTTCTTCTTTTAGCTTCTAGCTTGCCTTTGGATAATTTTGAGATCTATGTTTTGCTTTTAGTTAGTTCAGATTTGTTGTTTAAGTAGCTTAGCTACTTTAGCTTGTCTTTATCCATCCATCGATCCATCCTTTCATCCATCCATCCATCTTTTTCCTCTTACACGGGGTCGGGTCGCGGGGGCAGCAGTGCCCGGAACACCTCACCAGACAATTATTTTTAACAAGATATTGCTACTTTTAGCTGTTAGGTAGCATTCTGATGCTTTTCCTACATGTTAGCTACCATCCTGCTACACTTAGCTTAAGCTTTTATTTTGTTAGTTTAAGTTTCTGTTTTGTTATTTTTAGCCAGCCTTTGGCCATTTCTTGTTCTTAAATACCCTTTTACTGCTTTTAGCCTTTAGCTACTTTGCAGCTTTTAGTTTCAAACTAGTTTTGATACTCTTAGCTTTTAGCCACCAGTTTGCTACTTTTAGGTTTGTCTTAATCAGATCATAAATCTGAATAAAAGTTCATGAAAATAAAAAAGCAATAAAAAGATTGAGGCTTTAATTATGTTTTCACTCAGGTTTTTATTATTTCAGGTTTTATTAAAAGGCCACACAGAAAGCATTACTTCGTTCTGTTTTACAGGCAGATAAAAACTCCCATTACCCAAAGACACCAAATTTGATTACAGGTAAATTAGTCAAATCATTGTAAAAGCAGAGATGAAGCTGCTTCTCAGGCTTCTTCTAATCAGAGTCGCTGCTGCAGGAGCTGCTGTTGTACTGCAGGAGACAAAAATCAGTTATTCAGATTAGAAACAACATTTGCTCCTCCCTCTGTAAACACAGCTCAATTGAACCGCCTGTTTTCTGCATCAACTACATCTGAGACATTTAGCTGTAAAATCAACCAAAATCATCAGCAGGTGTGAGTCTTACCCTGCGACCGTCCCTCCTCTTCTTGTGACATTTGAGGTGTCTGTGACCTCACTTGTGCTTGTGTTTCAGCTTGTGGAGGAACCCGTGTTTGTGACCACCATGTTCCTGTCCATGCTGACCAGGTTCCTGTCCATGCTGACCAGCTTCCTGTCCATGCTGACCATGTTCCTGTCCATACTGACCAGGTTCATAGCCATGCTGACCATATCCACCTTGTAGAGTAAAAAACAATAGTCTTCAGTAAAAATCCAAAATGTTTTTCTAATTTCTCCATATTTCGCATTTAAAACACATTTTTTTAGAATCTTAGATCTTTTTTGTTTTCGAGATGATCTGAAGATATTTTGAACTTGTTCCAGATCTTTTTATTTTCTAAGTTTCGCTTTGTGTGAGACRTTTAACTCTGCCTTATGAATCATTCAGACACACAAATCAATAAAGAATCCATTTTATTTGGGACTTTTCATCTCTTTGATTTCAGCAGCTTGTCACAAAGACGATTAGTGCTGGCTGAAACTTCATTTTGTTTATTTTAAACTAACAGGACGGACAGAAGCAAAAGCCTGAAGGAATGACCACTGTATCTTAAAAACTCCCAGAAAAATTTGCTCCTTGCTGACAGATCTGTAAAGTAGGAAGAGGTATTTACCGTGACCGTGTCTGTCCATCTCAGAGCTTCCTCCAAACAGTTCGAGCAGAAATCTGTTAAAAACACAAAGATAATCACAACACAGTTCAGAAAATAAAACGTACAATAAAGTGTTATAATAATAATGGACTAAAAGGCCAGTTGAACAAACCTTCAGCAAAGTTGTGAACAGATGAGCTTCTTGTTTGCAGATGAGATGATCCACACACCTGGATGGTCTTTATAAGTGAAGCCACACCTCAACTGGAGCCCTTCCTCAAGTCTTATGAGGATACTCTTTTCAGAAATTGTTTAAGTGAGAGTAAAGAGTGTTTGTAACTTTTACTACTTTAAAGTTAACAGAATTTGATGTTTTTTAAGTTTTAGGATTGATTTACCCAATATGTCATGAATATATGAGGTTCAGGAAGTAAATTTATGTCTTTAATTCTTTGCAAAGTCTCTGTTTGCTGTGTTTTTTTCCCTAAAACTGGGGCATCAAAACATGATGTCATCAGACACCAAAACCAGTATTTCTACATGTTTCTGCAATGTGCATATACTTTGCTTTAAAAACAAAATTCACATCATTTTAAGGCATCATCTTCCATAAGGCTTTAATTGGCTTTATCATATCTTACAAATCAACACTTTATTTTTCAAAAATGTTCTAGTCTTGCATCATGTTTGTCTGTTAAGTAAATCATATTATACAACTTATGACAAACGTCTGAGTCAAATCTTGCACTAAAAACACAATTTGAAATAACTTTCATTAACTTACACTTTCTGATTGATAAAAATATTGCGATTTATTCAATTTTTTAAAAAATATTCTGTTTGAAATCTGCTTCTGCTTCCTCTGCTTTTGTTTTCAGTCTATCTTTAGCTTTCAGTTAGCACTTGGCTAACATTTAGCTTTTTGTTTACTATTCTACTTTTAGTTTTTAGTTAAAAATTGGCTAACATTTATCTTTGTCTACTGTTTTACGTTTAGCAAGACGTGAAAAGATTTTAACTACCGGTAACTTTTTGCCACATTTAACAACTGCCTTTTCATCTTTTAGCTTCTAGCTTGCCTTTGGATAACTTTGAGATCTGTGTTTTGCTATTGGTTAGTTCACATTTGTTGTTTAAGTAACTTAGCTATTTTAGTTTGTCTTTATCCATCCATCCATCCATCTTCTTCCTCTTATCTGGGGTCGGGTCGCGGGGGCAGCAGTGCCTGGAACACCTCACCAGTGAGGCATCCTAACCAGACAATTATTTTTAACAAGATATTGCTACTTTTAGCTGTTAGGTAGCATTCTGATGCTTTTCCTATGTTAGCTACCATCCTGCTACACTTAGCTTATGCTTTTGTTACTTTAAGTTTGTTTTTTCTTATTTTAGCCAGCCTTTGGCCACTTCTTTTTCTTAAATACCCTTTTACTGCTTTTAGCCTTTAGCTATTTTACAGCTTTTAGTTTAAAACTAGTTTTGATACTCTTAGCTTTTAGCCACCATTCTGCTACTTTTAGGTTTGTCTTAATCAGATCATAAATCTGAATAAAAGTTCATTAAAATAAAAAAGCAATAAAAATGATCGAGACTTTAATTATGTTTTCATTCAGATTTTAATTATTTCAGGTTTTATTGAAAGGCCACACAGAAAGTATTACTTCATTCTGTTTTACAGGCAGATAAAAACTCCCATTACCCAAAGCCACCAAATTTGATTGCAAGTAAATTAGTCAAATTATTGTAAAAGAAGAGATGAAGCTGCTTCTCAGGCTTCTTCTAATCAGAGTCGCTGCTGCAGGAGCTGCTGTCGTACTGCAGGAGACAAAAATCAGTTATTCAGATTAGAAACATTTGCTCCTCCCTCTGTAAACACAGCTCTGCCTGTTTTCTTTATCAGCTACATCTTAGACATTTAGCTGTAAAATCAGACAAAATCATCTGCATGTGTGAGTCTTACCCCGCCACAATGCCTCCCCTTCTTGTGACAATGGAGGTGTCTGTGACCACACCTGTGCCTGTGTCTCAGCCTGTGGAGGAGCCCGTGTCCACCATAAACACAGCCATGGTGACAATGTCCATACTCGTATCCATGATTACAATGTCCATGATGTCCATGATGACCATGTCCATGATGTCCATGATGTCCATGATGACCATGTCCATGATGCCCATGATGTCCATGATGACCGTGTCCATGATGACCGTGTCCACCTAATGGAATTAAAAATATTCTTAAATACAGATTATTGATAGTGTAGTGTTCTCCTCGGGTGAAATAATCAATGAAACTGTCTTGGACCTCAGGCCTCTGATGGGCCTTTAAAGAGACAAAAACTCTGTTCCACTTAGAACTGAATTTAGGCCAMCTCAGGTCGCCTTAACTTGTCAAAGAGACATTCTCTTTTTTAATCAGATAGTAGAAGAATCTTCTTATTATTTGATTTATTGTTCTCTTATCTGAAAGTTTTTACACATTTTGATAATCAGAGAATATCAAAGTTACAGGAGGCAGAAAGTGACGGATCGCCCGTCTGTGAAGACAACAATCACTCTCAGCTGGATTCTCCCTGGAAAGTCAGAGCTAAGCTGTGTCAGTTCTACCCCTTTCTTGCCAATGGTATGCCGCATGGCCCGGATACGACCAACGCCTGGTGTATCCAACGTGTTTTAAAATTTTCCTGTCGGAAGTTTTCATTTTAAAATCGGGATCCATGTTTGGCTTCRCCTTTCTTCCTACAGCTTGACACGAATGTACGCGGATGCTGAAAGTTAACATGCCTGGAGTGATCAGCTAAGTGGCCGGTCCTGGCGTATTTCCCACTACCTGAGAAACCTCACAGAATACCTGAATGGGTAACTGATCTCATCTTTAAAGGTAAAGCTTGCTGTGTTGTGATCTTCGCTATCTGGCTGACGCTGAGAAGAGGACCACTCGTGGGAGTAACCATCTACAGCTCAACATGATGAAGACAAAAGACGTGGTGGACCAGAGGACTAGGGCTCTAATGGTTCCTGAGGTCAATGTGGACATGGTGGACTGTAGACTGGACTGGCTTAAGATCCTGAAAATGATCTACAAGAAGAGGACAGAGCCAGCTTTTATATACATATGCATATATGTGTGTGTGTGTGTGTGTGAAGTTTTGCTGAACCTTTGTTCTTCATGTCTTCCACGGGGGGAGCTGATGAGCCAAAGGAACCATTTTTTTTGGACTTGTTCGAAATCATTTTTCAAAGTTTCTGTTTGTGTGAGACATTTAACTCTGCCTAATGAATCATTCACACACACAAATCAACAAAGAATCCATATTATTTAGGATTTTTTGTCTTTGTTGTCAGCAGCTTGTCACAAAGACAATTAGTTCTTAATTCTTTAGCTGAATCTCTAAAATGTACAGTTTTTAAGACATGTTTCATCTGCTGGAGAGGGTTTTAATTATGCCTTAAACTTTTTTTTGTTTATTTTAAATTAAACTAACAGGACTGACAGAAGCAAAAGCCCGAAGGAACAACTACTGCTCATTGAATTTTAAAAATTCCCAGAAAAACTTGCTCTATCACAGTGAAAGCTTTTTTTTAAAAAGGGAGGGGTTGATACATAATAGATCTGTAAGATATTTACCGTGACAGTGTCCGTGCATCTCAGCGCTTCCTTCAAACAGTTCGAGCAGAAATCTGTTGATAAAACACAAAGATAATCACAACACAGTTCCGAAAACAAAGGGTTACAATAATAATGGACTAAAAGGCCAGATGAACAAACCTTCAGCTGAGTTGTGAACAGGTGAGCTTCCTGTTTGCAGATGAGACAGTCCACACACCTGGATGGTCTTTATAGGTGAAGCCACACCTCAAGCGCAGCCCTTCCTTAATTCTTCTGAAAATGCTTTTTCCAGGAATTGTTTAAGTGACAGTAAAGAGTGTTCGTAACTTTTACTACATTAAAGTTAACAAAGTTTGACGTTTTTAAAGTTTTACTATCGATTTACCCAACATGTGTTCAATACATGAGGTTCAGGAGGTAAATTTATCTTTACTTGATTCTTTAATTATTTGCAAAGTCTCTGCTATGTTTTTTCTACAACTGGGGCAATAAAACATGTGATCAGACACCAAACCAGTATTTCTACATGTTTCAGAAATGTGCATGCACTTTGCTTTAAAAACACAATTCACATCATTTTAAGGCGTCGTTTTCCGTAAGGCTTAAAAACAGGTTTTCAGCAAACGATCTGGTATCAGTATGGACAGGCCTCGCTGACATCACTGACCCCCCTGCTGCAAACAAAGGTCTGACAGATGATCTGAAAGACTTCTTTTGTAGTTTCGAGAGGGACTGCATGCCGTTTACATCATATTTTGGGAACTGGTAAATGGTAGTGACGTCATTTCCCAACAAATCATATGAAACTGCATTCCAGTTAGCCAACAGGCAATTGTATTTTTGCCGCTAACCAAACTACAACACTGTTACAATGTAGCAGTGTTGAAATCTGGAGACAGTAATTCATGTGTTCATTACATCCAGGCTGGATAAGTGTAATGCTCTGCTATATGGAATCAGCCAGTCCTCCATTGCTCGTTTACAAAGGGTCCAGAATGCTGCAGCTCGATTTCTAACTGGCAGAAGAACAAGAGAACATATTACTCCTGTTCTAGCATCTGTTCACTGGCTTCCGGTTCATTTCATTGGGTGAGCCTCAATGGTCTTCAGTGCTGCTTCAGAGAACCGTCCTGCAGGAACCTGTCAGTGTAGCTCTGATCAGATGTTTTGTGAATGGCTCAAGATGGTGTCACAAACCTAAAACAATAAATGCACAAATTTAATTCAATACAGAAATGGCTACAAGTGAGCTTTCTAATAWATATTTAATATATAGAGAACAATTAATGTTATTTTAATAGCAACAAATTGTTGCACCTCTAAGGTAAACATCATATTTTTGTTTTAAAAATGTATTCATTTTATTAAAAAACAAAATAAACTATGCACAACGGAAGAAAAAATATAAATAAAATGAAAGGCAGCAGAAAGAAGAAAAATATCTTCTAAAATCTGACCCTTTTCAAGAATAAATTCAAACAATAGTAATTTACAAAAAACAAAACTAAACAGAAACATAAAAATATTTTTATATTATATTGTGTTCACCATTATTTATATTATATGCTGCTCAAAAACAAAGGGAACACCAACACAATCT